AGGGAAAGAAAACAGACAGGATAGAGAAGTCGGGCTTCCCCTTCTCTTTATGCCTCATTTGCCTTGTAAATAAGCCTTCTATGGAAGCAGTCATAAGCAAAACTCATAGCAGGAGACATGTGCTCGAAAATTACTATTTGAATAGTTGGAATCCAAGAAATCTGGAGGCCTTTTAGACAGGACATACATTTTTAGGTAAAGGGAAATATTCAATTTTCTAGAAAATCACCATATATCAAGGTCCATTTCTTCTTAAAGGGAAGCATCACGCTGGGGAGGAATTTCAGGAAACTTGCCTCACCTTCAAGTTGTCTCACTCCCATTTGCTAACAGGATGAAGAAGCCCAGCTCCCCCGAGTCCACTCCTAGCACCCCTCTGCACCCCTCCCTTAGGGGTGTCTCCTTTGAGTCTTTCCCTGACTCTCCTTCCATCCTTCCACAGATATGTAGTGAGCCCCACAGTTGAGCCTGGCATTGCCTTATGTGGGGATACAATAGTGGACAAGATGCAGTCTTCCAAAAGCTCACAGTTAGGTTTCTAGACAAGAAAACCAGCCCTTCCACTTAGTGTGAGAAGTACTAACCTGGACAGATACTTAGGAGCGACTAACCCCCAGAAGTCTGCACCGTTGCTTTGCTATCTACCCTGAAATTCCATACAGAAACTTGTTTTAGCTCTTGTCTCTTTTTCTTTCCCATGAAAGCAGCACATATTGTTTTAACTTACGTCTCTTGTTAAATAAGGTTAACGTCTTTGTGTTTTGCCCCAAATTATATTGAAAAACATAGATATTGTTTAATGAAAATGAAGGACTGCAATAAAGAGTACATATACTTGAGAAAACATCTGCAAATTTAAAAACTGACTGCAAAAACTTTAAAATTCTTTTGTTAGGTTTGCTTAACAACTCACTAAATGGTTGCTTTTACCATCCACTTTAAAAAGATACATTTTTTCCCTGGTAGCCTTAACAACAGTCATCTGAGTGGTTACCTCTTCAATATTGCTTTTAAAATGCCTTTTCGGCTCTGACGGGTCATAACCACTCCCCTGGCTTCCCTCCCCACAAGCGAGCTCTGGCCCCATACCAGTGATTTGAGTCCTCTCCTCAGCTGGCTGCAGCTCAGTTTTTAACTTAAGCTCGCTTTTTTCCTGAGTGGATCACATTATGCTTGGAGTTATAGATGATTCAAAGAATGTTAGTAGAGGTTCCCTATTCTGGAGTTTTTGAGAAAGGGCAAAGATACAAGAAAAGTAACAATCCAGAGATAATGTGCCCTTTGGTACAGTGATAGAGAAGGTATCACTGATTGATTGATCACCACTTAGAGGATTCGGTAATAATACATGCCATGGCAGTGGAAGTGGGGGAGCTGTGAGCTGCAGTGATCTAATCCGGGATGGTGTCTTAGTCGGCTGGGGTTGCCATAACGAAATGCCACAGACTAGGTGACTTAAGCAACAGAAATTTATTTTCTCACAGTTCTGGAGGCTAGAAGTCCAAATTAAGGTGCTACCAGGTCTGGTTTCTTGAGGCCTCACTCCTTGGCTCAAAGATGGCCGCTTTCTCTCTGTGTCCTTACAAGGTCTCTCCTCCATGCAAGCAGGCCTCTTCATGTCCTAATCTCCTCTTCTTATAAGAATGCCACTCGGATTGGATTAGGGCCCACACTAACAGCCTCATTTTAATTTAATTATCACTTTAAAGGCTCATCTCCAAACACAGTCACATTCTGAGTTACCAGGGGTTAGGGCTTCATGCATAAGAACTTGGAGGACATAATTCAGTCCAAAACAGGTGGCTTTTTGGAGAAGGGTGACAGTAAACTAGCTCTGTATGAAATGGCATAGGGATGTGATGGGTTGAAAGGTGGGGGAAACATTCAACTGACAGAGACAAACTAGGGCACACACTGGGTTTCTTCTCATCCTGAACAAGCTTCAAGACTGACAGACTTTCTTCCTCTTCAGGAGACAGGAGCACATCATTCTTGGCAGGACAGGCGCTAACCAACCTTGACTGGGGGAGCGACTGTAAGTTTATATTTAAGTGACTCTCTTCTTTGTTTTTGTGGAGCCAGGCAGAATACTAACAAGCTGTGAAAGCATTACTGGAGTAAGGCACAGGGACGGAGGCTGCACTCTGCCACAAACACCCGTGGGATTACGTTTTGATAATCAACGCCTCCCTAACCATTAAGGAGGCATTAGAAATGGTTGCATACCGCTAGGCCTTTTGGTTGATCTTCATGGATTTTAACAATTTATTTGAACTTCCTGCTCTCTTCTATTTTTCTGCTAAATTTTTAGTTGTTTTTCTGTTTTCTGATTTTTGTTGAATCTTTATTGGCCAGATTGCATATCACATTGCGCTCTCCATTTTAAATAAATTTTCAATTTAGTAGGACTTCCACGATCCAGGCATTCTTTTGGATATTATGAGGCTGTCTATTGGAGCTTGTTTTTTTTAGTTTTCTTAAAATTTACTGTAACAACAACAAAAGCCTTCTCCCCTTTCTTCTCCTTTTTTCCCCCCATTTGAATGCAAATGGAATCCATTTATCTAGGAAACTCTTATTTCACATTCTGCAATTTGGAGCCTGCGCTGGAGCACAATGCTCTTTTTCTCTGCAGAAAAGTTTACTTTATTTCTTCTCAATTCAGGGATTGATACAACCATCAGTTCTATTCAGATTATGGAAATCCAGCAAATAATAGATCGTCGGTATTGCAGTAGAAGCCTCCAGTGCGGGTGGGTAAGCCTCCCCATTATCCCCTGATTCTTTCTGGAATTTACTCAGGGCTCTGGGTTTTTGAGACTGGAATGAAAGCTAATGCTACCCGGTAAAACCGATGTGTGCTTACATTGCTCCTTAAGTGAAAACACATTTGTTGCACGGTGGAAGAGGGAATCATAAAATGGTTGGTATTAGCAAATGTCAGTAAACCACGGCTCCAAAGATTACAGTCTCCTGGTTTAATGGGTAAGTCCAAAGCTAAAAGCTTAGGGGGCAGCTCTGTGGCTGACTCTCTGAGGCCACATACCATAGGCACAGAGCTGTTAGTTAATTTTATAGAAAAGAAAGACATTATTACTGATGGCTCCAAGTTATGAGTGAGCTGACATTTGTATATTTTAATAACAAGGGATATCATTATTTTAATTGCTGAAAAATATAGCTTATCCTAACCTTTTCAGTTAAGAGAAAAAAATCTGGGTACTGCAAAAGTTATCAGCAATGTTCATCTCTAGTGTATCGCCTGCATCAAGGTAACAATGCATCTAGACGCATAGAGGGCAAGCATAGAAGCTTCAGCAAACACAACATGCAAGTTGTAGGCATGAAGAATAAGGAGTTATTTTTCTTTATTTGATCAGTATTTACTGGTTTAGTTAAGCCTGCTAATATTTAAGCCTGCTAGGTTAAAGGCAAGGCTGTGTATTTTGAATTGGTGTCACAAATCCTACGGATTCTCAGCCTTATTTCTTTTTCAGCCTAATGTACCTTAGGCTTCAGGCTGATGGTCCTGACTTTTGAAAATAACCTGTATGGTGCTTTATGATTTGTTTATGACCTTTACATTCATTATCTCATTGAATTCTCACAAAATCACATGAGGTTGGTATTATCCCCATTTTGCTGTTACAAAACTTGAGGCTCAGTGAGCTTGAAAAAGTCAGAGACAGACATAATTGGTTTGGTAGAATGACATAATGAAGAGTGAGATGATTTGGGTTCAAATTCCAGCACTTTGACAAGATGTTTATTCTCCCTGTGTACCCGTTTCTCATCTGTAAGATGAGGATACTTACTAGCTAAGGAGTTGGGTGCCTGGAAAGCACACAGATGTTGGGAGGCACATAGTAGGAAAAGAATTCTATTTACCCAAGCTTCCTCCAGTAGGACAAAGCCCTCCCGATCCCAGTTCAGATCTATTGCTTTTATTTTTGCTTTCTTATTTTTAACAACCCAGTTTAATATTCATTAACGGAAATTTTAAATGATTGGCTCTCTCCCCCATTTATCTGGTTTTAAGTTATTTCTCCATATAATTCAAAGGATGGCCAGTCATAAGAACTTGTATTAGATACAATAAGCCTTTTTGCTAGAGTTTTCATTACAATAGGGATCAGTGGAACTCCCCCCTTTCACTAAGCATCCCTCGTCAAGGGCGGGAGGAATGTCTGTATAAGCATTTCTGTCTTGCAGTTTTCTCCATTACTAAATGGTAATTAGGACTATAATAATTTTAGTTGATTCCAGTTCTGAAAGTACATGATATTTCCTGCTAATGTTGCCTAAAAGGGAGTGGTTTACTGTAAAAAAGCTGGTATTTATTATTTCCAATTTTCCTTTCCAGAGGGATTGTTAGTTTGAGGACTTTGCCTCATTTGTCTTCTGAAATCTGTATCTCCTTAAGGGGAACTGAAGTCATTTCCTATTTGTTTAGTTTTGTGCATATGGTCTGGGATTTGACTTTCTGTCATTTCTTCTGTGTATTTTAACAAACCATAAACCTTTGTGGTATATTTCAGATATAGTAAGATCCGAAAGAGATCACTTTGAAATTTAAACTTGATTTTCTGTATCTGTTACGTATTATAGAATATTTCACAGTTTACATAGTATACAAAAAGTAGAAAAAACCCTTTTGAACCCTTTCCTGAGTATTTTGATTTGTGGTTTTTTTTCCATAATTAGGTCTGGAAATTACAATTACCATATTCCTGTTAATAAGTACACACCCACCAATGTCAAATTCTCTCTGGAAATCAAGTAAGTGCATAGCTGTAAAAGACAATTCTGTTTTTATCATTATTTGAATAACAATACTGAATTTCCTTCACAATTTGATCAATAAGTTAGGAGGTGGAAAGTTATCAGTTAAAGAATAATGGTTGGGTTGAGAGTTAGGCCAGCTTGAGGGAGGGGTTTTCAAAATGAAGGTTGGGGCCTTCCAGGCTCCCTCCAGTGGAATGGAAAGGCTCTGGGCTGTATACTCATACCTACAAAGTGACAGTGACCCTGGGTTTGATGCTCTCAGACTGCCCCTGGCTGTGTCCCTTTGAATTGGGGTGGGAACTAGAGTAATAGTGTGGCCCTGGCCCCTGGATGTGGGGGGCTGCACATTTTTGTGAGCTTCTGGGAGCAATGCTAATGCAGACACCACCCCCTTCCCCCAAGGGAGTTAAAAAAAAGAAGTCAGAGTTTGGAGGTGGGCAGACGAGTGTTCAGATTTTGTCTCTGTCACTTACTAATTCTGTAATCTTGGGGAAACCACTTATCCTCTCTGAGCTACTGTTTATTCATTTATAAGATGTGTTTGACATTATACCATAACAAGGAGAGCTGCTGTGAGAATCACAGATAATAACAGTGAAATGAATAACTACCATTTGCTGAGCATAGACTATATGCCAGACACTACACTTTACTACTGGGTCATATAATCCTCTCAACAACCCGCTGAGGTTGGCATTATTTTTTCTAGTTTATATTTTTCAGATGGGAACACTTAGTTTAGAGAGGTCAAGAAGCCTGTCCCAAAACTCATAGCAAGTAAGTGGTGGAGCTGGGCTTCAAATCAGCCCTTCCTTTTAACCATCACTTTCCTGCCTCCCCAGTGACATGAGATATTTAAGAACATTGCCCCTTCCTGGCACATAGCAGGCACTTCATATTATGACTGCCTTTCCTCCAAAAATCACAAAGCTCTAATCTATTTTATCAGCTATTTAAAATAATTATGGCACTTTAAGACTTTTGCAGAAATTATGCAGTGAGATACCATGCAGATAGATGGTGTTTATTTTGTGTCTCTTGATGTCAGTTTCTCCTTTGTCCCTTCCACATTTCCTCTCTTCTCCCTTTCCTTTCTCCCTTTCCTTCTCTCCTCCCCACTTTCCCTGTTTCCCCAGCTCTGTTACTCTTCCTCCATCAGTCCCTCCCCCCTCCCCACCCCATCTCGTCCTCTGTTTCACTCAGACTTCATACTCCTTCTCTCATCCACTTTGCTTCTACAATGACCTTATGACACACGCCAACTGCTTGCCTTGGAAAGGTTTGTTTCAAGCAGCTAAAATTCCATGACTTAGAACCCACCATATTTACAGGCAGAGCAAAAGCTAAATGTACTATTCTCTGGCACTCTCTGAGCAACCTGGAACATCGTTTCCTCATTCGTTCCTAGCTTCGATGGAGGGAAATAAGTGAAATAAGTGAAGTGGTATATCCCCTGAAGTGGCAGAAGGTCATCTTGAACCAAATCAGGCTTTCTGTTTTTTATAATATAATATTTTTTAATATAAATTTACTTATTTATTGTTTGGCTGTGTTGGGTCTTTGTTGCTGCTTGCAGGCTTTCTCTAGTTGTGGTGAGCGGGGGCTACTCTTCGTTGTGGTGTGTGGGCTTCTCGTTGCAGTGGCTTCTCTTGTTGCAGAGCGCGAGCTCTAGGCATGTGGGCTTCAGCAGTTGTGGCGCACAGGCTTAGTTGCTCTGCGGCATGTGGGATCTTCCTGGACCAGGGCTCGAACCCATGTCCCCTGCATTGGCAGGCAGATTCTTAACCACTGCGCCACCGGGGAAGCCCCTAAATCAGGCTTTTTAGATTAAGAACCATTCTTTTCTAACATGGGAGATCTTAAAATAACACATATACTCAACCGAGATTGTAGGTTGTCCCACTTGTGCAAAAATATTGTTTCCAAAGACAGATGGATCTCATCCTCTTGATGATGATTCTTGGGCCAGCCTCCAGAGAAGAACCATTCTTTCTGACAGGTCTTCCACCCTGATCACTTGAATGGCTTATAATTCCTAACGGGGCTCACCTGCACATCCCTACCTGTGTTGTTTGCCTCTCTGATTCAAACAATACCTACCCAGAGCAGGAGTCTGCAGAATCTGAAATCCTGGAAACTTCAGATGGAAGCAAATTCAGCTGCCAGTGAAAAGAGAAGGAATACATCCAAAAATTATTTAAAAATCTAGGGAGATAAGAAGTTCTGATGTTGAGGTGATTTAAGTCATGAGATTAGGTTTTAGAGACTGTCATATGTTATCTCAGTTTTAGTTTTAGTCAGTTACAGGCTACTATAACAGGAATCCCATAGACTGGGTGGCTTAAACCACAAACATTCATTTCTCACAGTTCTGGAGATTGGGAAGTCCAAGATCAAGGCACTAGCAGATTCGGTGTCTGGTGAGAGTCCACTTCCTGGCTGATAGACAGCCGTCTTCTCTCTCTGTCCTCACACGGCAGAAGGGATGAGAGACCTGGGCTCCTTTTTATGAGGTCACTATTTCCACTCACGAGGGCTCCACCGTCAAGACCTAGTCACTTTCTAAAGGCTCTACCTCCTAACACCATCACATTAGAGGTTAAGATTTAAACATACGAATTTTGGAGAGGACACAAACATTCAGTCCGTAACAGTAGTCATCTGAGATTGAGTTTCTGTTATAATGAGATGTGAACTAGTATATCGGCATCCGTGAGCTTTGTATAATAACATGCCTATTTGGAACTTTGAATGGATTTCCAAGGTATGTTCCCATTATTCCCTCTTCTTATCAAGATGTAGACTAGTGGGAGCTGGTAACTTCTTTTCCATTTGCCCTTTCTTTTCTTTGTCTCTTGAAGCACAACAGAGCCACTGATAGTCTTCCAGTGCAAGTTCACCCTTGGAAATATGTGTTTCCATAGTAAAAGGGAAGCCAAAGGCATGCAAAGCCACCAAGAAGTCTCCCAGGAGATGACACAGGTAACGTTTTCCAGCTCCTCGG